TCACTACACTAGATCTAATCATACTTGAGGAAAGTTCAAGTCTTTATATCTCAAGATGATCTGAAATGGAACAACAATCTCGGATCTACAACTTCTCCTTTGAACCACCACCTTGCTTTGCTCTTCACTTTGTTGGAAAATGGATCAACAACACCAAAATGCTCTCTAATGGCCTTCTAAGCTCCAAGAACACTCAAAGAAGGATTAGGGTTTCGTGGTGGCTGTCTAAGGGTGAAATGGAGGTTGACATCTAGGGCGTTATGTTCTTTATATAGTGCTTAGCAGGGCCGGCCCTAGGGGAGTTCAAAGTGTTCGATTGTACAGGGCCCCGAAAAAAATAGGGCCCGAAATCATCCTATTAACCTAGTAACGTTATATTATATATAATGTTATAACCATAATTTGCCAGAGTTTATTTAGTCCAGATGGTTTAAGGCGCGCCACTTATAAACTATAACCCCGGGTTCGATTCCACTAAGCGCTTTTTTATTATCAGATTGCTTTTTGTGGTGATATATATAAGTAGGAACATTTGTTATGTACATCTATTACTCTAGTTGAAATGGTAAGTGTGCATATGCTTCTAATAGGTCGGCCAACCTCTATTCGATTCCTACTAAGCCATTTGACTTTAATTTTTTGCCTTCCATTTATATAACATTGTATATAATATTTTTATTTACTTTTTAAACTTATTTTTAAGAGGCCTTTTTTCATGTTTGCACAGGGCCTAAAATAAGTCAGGGTCGGCCCTGGTGCTTAGCCCTAAAATTAGGGTTTAGGAACTCCGAGCGTACGTTGGGCGTACTTCTCGTACGCTGGGCGTACGCCTCCAACACCCGTGTCCATTTTACTCCTCTACGTTTGGCGTACCCTCAACTTACGCTGGACGTACTTCCACGCCTACCACCTTGCATGCATGGTACCTTCTTGCCACTTTTCTCCATTAGGGACCAATATTTCCAATAACTTCAAAGTGCTATAACTTCTTCGCTCTAAGTCAGTTTCCGACGAACTTTATATCCACGAAAAGGTGGCGAGAAGCCCTACGCTCCTAGCTACACCCCAAGCCTAAAAACCTTTCGAATAGAACCCGAGACCCATAAAAGACCGAATCGTCAGATTACGCTTATGCCCTCGACCTCCGAAGCCACAACCGAACTCTTCCAAAACCGGGTGTTACATCATTCCCATAAGTAGATCAATTAGTATATGATTCGAATCACTAATAAATCTTATTTATAGATTCATAACAATGACTATGGATATAAATATAAGTTACACTTAAAGCGTAGTAAATGTAGCTTAACTTATAGAAATTTCTAGTGAAAGGTCGGAAATTGCACGGCAGAACTCCGACTCGAAAGCTCCTTTTCATCGGGCTCCTAGATATCTTAGAGCCGCGCTAAAGTAGAATTCTCTAGAATCCCGAAAAACATTAGAATATTCGAAATTAGAGAGAGAGTTAAGAGTGAAATGGGTGTGAAGAAGAAATAAGGGTTGGCAGCTATTTATAAGCACTCTGGACATGAGGCATGTCGCGCCTTGTCTTGGGGCACGGTCCTCCACCGAAATCGCGACACATGGCACAATTCTAGTGGGGTTGCATCACAAATGCCAGATAAATCTATCGAACTTCTAAAAAGCGTATCTTTTGCATATGAGCTCTATTTTTGACGTTCTTTATATCCACGTGTACCTATCAACAAGTACTACATCTTTAATTTAGACTTCGTCGGCTAATTCTCATCCTATTTTAAAAATTAGCAGTCTCTGAAGATTAAACTGCAAAATACCGTGTAAAATTCAGAACTTCTTCATACGGACTCCGTTCTCGATGTTCTTTATATCGATGGATTGGTATTTATGAGATCTGCATTTCTTGTTTACATTGTTTTGTATAACACTCAATTGATTTTAATTTTGATTTCTGTGTCGCACACCACTGCACCAAAACTATGAAAAATCATAACTTCCTCATACAAAGTCAGATTTAGGCGTTCTTTATATGCACGCTCTCGGAATTACGATTACTACGAATCTCATTTAGATCAATTAGGCTAATACGCAACATATCTACGATTCATATTTTACGACACACTTTGTCGTACAGGGCTGAATGCGAAATTTGAAACATCATGACTTCTTCGTATGAAGTCATATTTGGGCATTCTTTATACCCACAAAATCATCATCGCGTTTTCTACAACTTTCATCAAGATTATTTATCGTAAATAATCTTTTATTTTTAGACATTTATTTGATGTAATTCGTTAATTTTATAATAATGTTTTATTTAAATATTATAACCCATAATACTTGCCCATAAAACATGTACACAATATAAATTTTATTTATATACTTTATAATTCCTTAAAATTTCTAGCATGAATTCGCGAGCGTTATAGTATTATTTGTATAACACCATTTCCAGGTAAATATTTCTTTTGGTGTTTATGATAACTAAAGGACTTCATATGTGCATTTTGGAGAGGCCACGACGTGGTGGGGGAAACACCATGACATGGCGCTTTCTGAGAAAGGAGCGTGCGTCTTTTGGACGCCATGACGTGGCGGCGGCCAGCATGCAAACCCTAATTTTTCGGGTCTTAAGCCCTATTTAAGGTATGTGATGGCTAGGGTTTGCTTACCTTCAGCCTTCATCACCTCCCTTTCGACCTAAAAGCAACCCTAGCCTCCATTGTTGACCTCTTGAAGCTTTTTTGTGGTTTTGAAAAAGAAAAAGAACAAATCTCCTCATCTCCTTCTTGCATACATTTTGGATTTTTGTAAGTCCTCAAGCTTCTACATTTATGTGTTTCATGTTTAAGGTGGTTTGAGTGGATGGATTCCATAAAGTTGGCAATTTTATGGATTTTTGAGGTCCCTTTGTGGTTTCATGTTTTAGATCTGAAGTTTTGTAGAGTTGTGGTCTCATGCATGAGGTTTTGACCTCGTTTTCTCTATCTTTGACCTAGCTAGGGTTCAAGACATGCATTGGACATATATGTCCATAAAGCAAAGACTTTTTTGAGATATTTAGGTGTAAGGAAGCCTTCTGGAAGAGATGAGTGAGTGGCTTAATGGATTAAAGGATTAATCTATTAACTTGTCCAGGAGCAGTTCCTACGACGTGGCGACATGCTCACCACGTCGTGGTGAGGGGGGGGGGGGTTTCGCGACTGTTTTGTCGTGAGGCTTTCACGACATGACAGATGCTTGGTCACGATGTGGTGGCTTTTTTTTACTGTTGACTTTGATCGTTGACTTTTTTTGTCATGTTGACTTTTAGTCAATCTGAGGGTTTTTAGGCTGTAGATTGAGGATATACCTCTGATTGTTATATAGGTGGCTTGTAGCACCCGTCTTTTGCTTCGTGAGAGTTGTGTTGTTGTCTACATTGTATGTGTAGTGTGGGGTATTTTGGGGGGGGGGGGAACTCACTATGTTTTGACTTACAGTTATGGATTTAAATGTTTCAGGTACTTCTAAGGATCGTGGGAAGGCCAATGTGAGATTGTACACATTATCCCATGGATTGATGTTTGAGAGATGTTATTTGATAATCTGGTTTTATGATTATGTTTTGAAACAATGATTTGGATGACTTATGTTTTTTATGTAAATGTCTTTTGAAAAAAAAATTACTATAGTTTTTGGGATGTTATATTTAGTCTATTTAATATAATTGAAATTATCACGAGTGTTAAAAGGAACTCAAACTATGATTTAATACAAGTTAGATGGTGCAAACTATACAGTTATAGAAGACGAGTTTAACCCCGAAGAAGATGAACAACATGTGTCAAGGCACGACACCCCTTGTGGGTTTATAGGCAAATAATCCTTGGCAGTTTAGGATATGGCCGGGTTGAGCAACTCAAGTTGCCTTGACATTTTAAGCAACTTTGGCAGCCATGCTTCCTCACGATATCTTGGTAAGAAAATAAATTAAAAAAAACAATGTTGTAAGTTTTACAAAAGTTTCATGGTTTTTTTAACCATGTGTTAAATGTAACAAATAACAACATAGTCTCTTTAATTTGTTTTTATAATATTTTACGCTTATTTACCTCCCATTTTTGTTTCATAGAAGTATAAAACGCACACCTAAAAAGTACTTGCTATTATAAAGAATTATTTGACTAAAGTAAATTATACCTTTAATCATAATTTTTAATGTGAAGTTTTATACGTACCCCTGTGAGTAAAATAATATTTGTGTATCACTTATGATTTGACAATTTATATGAGTATATATGTTTATAGATAAGATCACCACGTTCTATTTGTGGGGGAAACTACCAGCCAAAGATCATGCGTTTTTTGAAACATAGATCGGTATTTTTCTCTCTTAAGAAAAGAGAGGCATTATTGTCGATCTATATTTTTTTTTTCCGGTGGAAGCATTAAAAACTGCCGTGGCAATATAGCTCCGCAGTTTAAAAGTGTATTTAAACCTTTTATATATAATAGGTGTAATTTGTCTTGGGACTTTGTTTATTGAATTCAAATTCGGTAACTACTTCGATGTTCATGAAAAAGATTTATTTTGGACTTGTGTGGGTGCTAAGAAATTGACATATTTGACTTCCGTTTTTGCAGTGACTACTCTGTTTCTTTTATCAATTTGGAATTGATCTATCAATCCATTTGCATTTTTTTCGCTAATTGAACAGCATTTTGTAATAAAACCGAATAATAAAATGTATAGCAGTTCAACTACCCCCAAAATCATTGTTCAGAAATCATGGTTATAATCCACTGCTAATCTTTAATTGGATAAACAGGTTGTAGACACTAGACAGGATCAAATTAAGAACCACATTTCTAAACTAACCAAACCGTACTATGCTATTATATTGCTATCAATGAAGTCAACCCTATCCGGGTCCAAGTCCAACCCGGTTTATTGATTCGACCCGACTTCAAAAATCACATTTGCCTTTTAGTTTTTACTTTGTCCCCATAGATAATTACAGTAACACCTAATTATCGAGTCAATGATCTATGGATAATTGCAATTTTTCAGCCTTCCAACCTTTATTAATCTTCTCGATGAATTCCTCCACTCTTCTTCTGAGCTCATCATCCTGTTCTTCCTCATCGACGTCTTTGACATATAAGCCGCAGTTGTTCCACAGTTTGTTAACGTCTATGGAAACATTGCAACTGGTAGTAGTCGTCGGTTGAAGCTGCGTTGTTAGAGTGGTGGTTTCGAAGCTTTTGTTTTCGTTAATGGCGGAGGGTGGTGGTGGAGGAGGAATTGGAGTAGCCGTGCAGTTATAGTGAGAATTTGAGGTGGGTTCCAAGCTAACAAGAATCAGAACGGCGATGATCAGATTGCAGAATAGAAAGATGAAGTGTGGATTTGAAGCTGCGACTGTGATCAGTTCGTATGTTAATTCAAACATGATGTTTCTGTGGGTGTGGGTGTATGAGAGAGAGAGAGAGAGAGAGAGAGATGAGTTGGTGTTGTTTGGGATAGACGAGGGATTTATAAGGAGGGAGGAGGAAGAAGACGAAGGTTGTGCTGTGTAAGCTTTTGGATAGTTAAGGTGAACGCTAATGAGGGTTGACTTTTAATAATTAGATGGAAATTCGTCAATAGTTTTTTTAATTCAAATAAGTTCTAGATATTTTTAACCAACAATATGATGTATATAATGTAAGGTAAACTATATTCTAACTAGCAATAATATATTTTGGTACTTGTCGATTTATTCTTTTAACTATTTTATATAATAATTAAATTATTATATATTTTTGACTTATTAAAAATCTTAGTCTTTATGATAATCCAGTAGTAGATTTTTTTTGAACGACAATGACTTTAATTAAAAACAAAAGCCAGTACAAAAAGAGTTTACCCAGTATTAGATGAAATTAGTAATAAGAAACATCAATACACAAAGTATTTTCATTCTTTTATAGATTTATCATTTAATTAATGTTTAATAAGATTATAAAAATATATCATTTTTTTGTATTTTATCTAATTTAATAAAGATGCAAGAGGACGCGACGAAAGAGCACATCTAATGTATGTACCAAATTTTCTAGAAATATGTTTATACCGAATGAGTTTATTTCAAAGTGTCACCAAATTTAAACTATCATATTATTAAATATTACATATTTCTAAAGTTAAATGGAAGACATCTATAACAATATCAAACGAATAATAGTAAATTGAAATTAAATAAAAGTATTAACTAAAAGAAACCCTAATACATCATGTCAAATTTGGTATATATGTTAAAGTAACTAAATTATGGTATATACATACTTAAAAGATATATATTTTTATATCAAATTAAATGAACCATTTGATGCATTACATTGAAGATGTCTTAGGTTCCACTAATATATTTATTAAAATTGAAAAAAAAATAATTATAAAAAAACACACTTCATTTTTACAAATTTATCCATTTAAATATTTAATTATTTTAGTACTGGAATAATAATTTAACAAAAATATGTTGCAATTTTCTCTATTTTTACCATGATATCAAAATCAAATTACCAGAAAAATATAGTTTTGAAGTAAAAACAAATACAATGGTTGAATTAGTATAATAAATATTTTCGTGATTAGAATGATAATGACATAAAGAGAGAAAAAAATCGTGTTTTTAGATATGTATCCCAAAATGGAGCATTAAACTCGATATTTTATAAGAAAATTGTTGAGACCAATCATAAGGGGTAATCAAGAGTTATATCAAAAGCATTGGTGACGCTTCTAACCACGTAGACGATATAGACTAGGGTTTCCTTTAATTACATTGCATTTAGAACCATGTTCGACAATCTAGAATAATGATTGCTATAATTAGATTGGTGCGTGTACCCTCACACCACACCGATATTGTCGTTGTGGTTGTGTGGTGGCCACGGTAAAACCGCTTTACAAAAACAAAAACCGCAGATCAAGTATGGGTAGAAATCTATCAAGAGCTTTTTCTTCTTTTTTTCCCATGGCGGACTCACGAATTCGTAGTAGGTGTTGCCCGTGACAATTTTTTTAGAGTAAATTACACGAATGGTCCTTATGGTTTAGGGTAATTTGCGCGTTTGGTCCCTAACTTATTTTGTTAACTCGGAAGGTCCCTACTGTTTGTTTTTGTTACACGCTTGATCCCTACTGTTTGTTTTTGTTACGCGTTTGGTCCCTGTTTTACCTAAAAAGACTATTATTTAAATAGAGAAAAATGGTTTGGTAGGTAAGGTAAAGTGATGGGGGTGGAGTTGGGGTGTGTTTATTTTAATTAATTAAAAAATCAATGGGAAAATAGTGTTTTTAGGTAAGACAGGGACCAAACGCGTAACAAAAAACAAACAGTAGAGACCTTCCGAGTTAAAAAAATAAGTTAGGGACCAAATACACAAATTACCCTAAACCATGGGGACCATTCGTGTAATTTACTCTTTTTTTACGTAGTGACACAATAGTAGAAAAAACAAAAAATTCAAAAATTTCTACACTGCGTCCGAAAAAACAGGCGTTGTCGTTGCCACTATGGGCACCATAACAAAACCGCCACTGTTACTCTCCCCTTCAACAATTATATTTCAAAAATTTACTTTTTTTTATACCCGAGCAATAATAACACATATAATTCATTCAAACACACATACAAAATATCGATCATCTTACGAGTGAAGAACTTGATTTGGTTTTGAAGATCAAGACGGATATAAGAAACGAATATAAGCATATAACTTTTAGGCTTGTTTTAATTATGTTTTAATTATTGTTAAGTTTTTTTTATTTTTTTTATTTTACTTTGTGTAATTTTAGAATTTTAGTTTAAAACTTTAAATTAATGAAAAAAATGTGTTTTTTTTTTCAATTTTGTTTTTATATATTTTGTTTAAAAAATTGAATGGAATGTAAGGTGTGACCATTTCCAAGATGAGTAGAGAGTGAGAAAAAAATGACATGACGTTGAGTTCATAGGAAAAAGTCAAAAGTGTGGTGAAACCACACCTTTTGGTCTTATAACGAATCAGTAGACAGGATAACGAACACGTTAATCATGTTTTTGTTGAAATTTTTGTAGGTTACTGAAAATTAAAGAAAAATGATTATGGTGGTTTTCTGAAGCATGTAAATTGTGTGAAGGTAGGGTTTACGGAGTTTGAATCTTACCAGGAACATAAACTTGTACCTCTGTTTACATTTGGCTTATGTTGTCGATGTATATTTTATGTTTTATCACTAATATCTATGTGCACTATATTTGTTTACCTTTCTTCCTTTTCACTTCAACTTTATTGATCTATATGTTTTTTACCTTTCTTCTTTTTTACTTTCAACTTTATTGATCTTTATGTTTCTTTATCAAACAATAGTGTTTATTCTTTATTGTTATTTATGTTTAATATGTAGGAAATAATCCGGTATGGACTTGCGTATTTCTTTTATCTTATGCTAGAAGTCATTAAATAAAATCCATTTAGACTTCCCACATCTAACAACTTACCTTTCCTTAATTTATCATTATTGTTGTTGTCTGATTATTACTTTTTCTCGGAAAGACCTTTATATTTATACAAAATATATAATCGGATAAAGCAAGTCATTTTATACTACTTGGTTTGTATTTATGTTTCTCGTTTATTCAAAACCATTTATTCTTATGACACATAACCCTTAAAATGATTTGTTGTGACGAAAAACTAAAATATAGTTAGAAAAATTAATTAGCCTTTTACAACAATTCTTTCACCGAAAAGATCAAAAAACTCATGTCACCATCTATATCACCTACGACAAACCTACTTTCCTCCTCCACTTTTTAACATATTCTCTCTCATATTTATGCGAAAAAGATTAGTCAATATTTTAATATTCATGGAAAGATTGAACTTGGAGTTGTCTGAGATATGGACATACTTGACTTCCATCATTTTTGCATCTTTGAGCTCTTCCTTTGTTACTTTTTGGCAACTTCCAATCCAATTACAAATTTCTCAAATAAAACAGTATCTCAATTGCTCCAACATAATTATTCTGAAATAAGGGTTGCACGTGATCCAAATATAAAGATAATCGCCCTGATAGAGTTCAACCGGATATTAATAAGTTTATGTGTACGTTTGTTTGTTTGTTTATGTGTGTGTGACAGAGATATATATAGAAAGAGGACGGTTGGTGTTGTTTAGGAGAAATGCAATAAATAGCAATGTAGTTTCATTGATTTATTTATTACATCATTTTGCTTTCATTTATTTTTATTGCAACATTCACTTTGAAAAATCTAACCCAACCATAGGAACGTTTTCCACTGTTGTAGTTAGATAGATTTTTCAAGGTAATAATATCCAAACAAGAAAAAATAAAATAAAACTACAATGCTATAAATTGGTATATTTTTCAATGTGTAATACCTTATTAAAAAAAGTGCAATGCTATACCAGAAAGAATTGAAAGGCGTTATGGTCAACGGTTTGACTTTCAAGTATTCAAATACGCAGTGGAAGAGTTTCAGTTTCAATATATATTGGACTCCTTGTGGACACTATATACCTAATTTACATCTCACATCATGTGTTTATGGTAGGACAATGTGGGCCAACTTTAGGGTTGCTAGAAGAGTAACCCTTTTATAGAAACTTAAAAGTCAAATCAATTATAGTTTCATTAGATGAAATTGAGTCAAATCCATTGCTATAAAACGTAACTTTTTTCCAAAAACAAAAACCTATAGGTTGGGGGGAGTGGTGCCACACTCCCTCATTTTGCCACACTGCCACATAGGCGCCACATCACTATTTTTCACAAAAGTTTGGTTTCTTGCAACACCCAAGAAGTGGTACCACACTCTTTTTTTTAACAATTTTTTTTTCTTAAAAAACTTCATTTTTAATAAAAATATTTCATTAATTTAAAAAAAAAACATTACATAGAAAGGTGTAAAAACTTGGTCTTGGTTTGAAAAGATAAGGGTGAAATTGTGGTTTTATAGGTAAAAATTATAAATATAAATATATATATATATATATATATATATATATATATATATATATATATATATATATTTGTTCAACGGTCCAATTCTCTATCTACCAATCAAATGTCACGACAATTCAAGGGAGAGGTGCGGAAAAACCGCACCCAAGACCGCATGGGGGAGGGGGTGTTCCCCTGCCTATGTGGCACTTGGTATGGCCAAATCGTAGCCCACTCCCCTTGTTCTAAAATCATGTCAAGTTTAATGAACTATTTGGAGTAAACCTGAATTCAATACATAAGATTAAGTCCATCCATTAATGCTTTTGGTACAATATATAGAAACACAATCAATTTTCTCATTATGGTGGGGATATGAAACTAAAATAGAGCAACATAATGAAGACAAAATATCAATTTAAAACTTAACTATTCAATGAAAAATCAAACATT